GATGAGCGCCGCTGCCGAGCTGCCGCAGTACGACTTCGTGTCCCAGCACGGCAATTCAATCATGCCCGCAAACTGCAGTGACACTGACTTCCTCGACTCCCTCATGAAGAACAGCAGCAGCAACGACGAAGAGTGGTTGAATAATCTGACAATGATAGACGACATTTTGGGACAGCACGCCCAAAGTTCCGGACATGTTTAGCTCGGAGAGAAGCAGTCTCGTTGTAAATAACATACGTATGGCTTTTGAACATAACAGACAACCCGTGAAAGCTGCCGCCTCTTTCCATACAGAATGAATAGACTCAGCCAATTCTTTGCCTGCATCGAAGTTTAATATTGGCAGTTTTTCAGATGACTGTATATATTTGAATATTTTGTAAATTATGTTTTCCTAAACCTTAAATGTAGAAGTATTTATACTTCTTTGCTGGACTGTTTGTAAATAAATCTATAGCATAACTTTTGGTTTTATTATAGGGATTTCATTATACCTTGTTATAAATATGCAAATAATATTGTTAGTTTCAGTAATACTGTGTATTACAGCATAAAATACTTATGTTTTTGACATAACTTAACACATGAACTAGGGGTGTCATTGCAACCAGACTAAGCAGAAATCAGATGTGGCATCTGTTCTCCCATATCAAGAGGAAAGATTGAAAAGTTGCATTAAAAAAAAAAAAAATCCGTAAAAGGAGCTGCTGACTCCCTCGTAGCTCAGTGTTGCAGCCCGATTCTGGTATGTAGGTCCCATCCGGGCTCCCAATGCATTCCGGGATCTGCCCGCGGAGATCCATTTGCAAGATCCCGGGCACGTTCTCAACTTGCTACACTCCGGTAGGTCGATTCGACACTGACAACGCGTCGTCCGTTGTCCTGCAGCGAGCGTGTGCTTGTGGTGTTGCAGCTGCTGGCAGGCGCGTCTCCGGGCCCCGCAGGCAGGCGAGGGTTGCGCTGCAGCGGCGCGGGGCAGGCGCTGCCAAGCCTCCCCGGCGACTGCACCCTTCAGCGAAAAGGTAGCTCTGGTTTGTGCACCTCTGCCATGTATATTTGTAGTGTACAGGTGATTTGTTCCTGGTTTTAAGGCTTTTCATAATTTCTGTTTTAATGTGAGACTTTTTTCAGGGGAAAAGTCTATAAACATTAATAGTTAATTTTTGATGTTTTTCTGTCAGCTACTATTGTCCTATGTATATTTAAGAGTCTGTTTATAAAAGATTCACTGTACTGTAAACTTCTTAAAATGTTCATACTTTGTGTAATCATATTTTAATAGTCACGTCATACTTCGCAATACATTTGTAATATAACGTCAGCTTCAAGCACAGAATGTTTTTTTCTTCATACCATAATAAACTGCCAGGGGAAAATTGCATATACTTTATGTGCTCATTTCTCAGCTACAACGTTTCGTACCTGCAGATATTTGAATTAATTTGATTTGTCCAGGATGCTATAACGTCAATCTAATAACATGTACAAATGCGTTTGTGCTGTTAGTAGAAGAAATGGGCTAGACGAAGAATTGAAGCAGGCTTTAAATTTATTTTAAGATGGGATTTCTTAGGCCCGCTCTCCTTTTCCAGTGTAGTTATAGGTCAACGTGAAATTACTCTCTCTCCTTTTTTTTTTTTACCATGTTTATTTAAGTGACAGTTCTTGTTTCTAAATGCCCGTATCAGTTGGCCCATCAGAAAATAAAGCTGTGCCCAGCGAGAGGCGGTGAGGAGGGCTGGGGGCCGCGGCGCAGTCCCACCTTGCTCGTGCGGCGACGCCAGCGAGGGCGGTGGCGGGTACGGCATGTCACTCCTGTGACACAGAAATCGTCTGACGGGAGAGCTGGTGCCTGCCCTGGGGGAGGTGAGGATGGGAGGAGGGGTAGGAAGGAACAGGAAAATTTTAGCAATCTTAAATAAATGCACAAATAGAATCTGTAGCTAAAATTGCCTCGTTTAAACAGAGCCAGACGCCGCCCCAGCTTCCTAGGGCTGCTGGAGAAGACGTGTCGGTGCTGCCCCTTGTCCTGCGCACGCTCTGGGCACGGCAAGCCTGGGGAAATCTCCTGGGGGGGATCTCCCTCAAAGTGTCCATGCTGGAGGGAGGGCTTTGGCAAGGTTGTCCCCACCCTGGAGTGGGTCCTTCTAGAAGCCTTTTCTCCAGAGCCGGATGGCAGAAAACAGCTCCTGAAGCCAAAAGGGAGAGGGGAGAGTCAGGGCGCGAAGCAGTCGGGTACGTGCGCTGCTGCCGGTGCTCAGGTGGGCCGGAGACCTCCCCCAGGCACGACCACCCCAGGCCTTGTCAGAGGTCTGTGCGGCTTCGTGATGGCAAAGGTAGGTCCTCACCGTGCAAGAGGCTCCATGGGGAACGACCCCCAACCGGCTTGATCTGGAGAACAGCACGTACTTGCGTGAAACCAGGGCGAGGAGGAAAGAAGCCAGTTTTTCCAGCAAAGGAAATCAGCCCCACCAAACAATTGCCCAAAACAGGCTGTAAAACCCGGCGAGTGTCTGAATGAGACAGAAATGCCGCCTCGCCTCCAGACAGCAGAGAGGGGGAGAAATGCCTCTGAGCACGTCTGTGGCGAGGACAAAGGTGAGTTTGTGTGGCTGCGAAAACTGGCACCGTTTCAGCAGCTTTTCTGTCGTGAGCGGCGTCCTGCCAGGGAGCAGCGCTGGCCGCGGCCGGGCCTTCGGCGGGGCTGACCGCGGGGCTGGGAGCCAGCAGCGCCTGACCCCCTCCGGGTTAGCAGCACGGCAGTCACAGATGGCAGAGAAGACTACTGCCCACACACTCTTCTTGAGGATATTAATAAACATAATAAAATGCTGTCTTTTCATTCTTCATTTTGTTTCTGTCAATGCACCTTTCAGCTTTTCAGTTCTGCAGGATTTGAGTTACAAACACTGGGGGGGAACGTCTTCAAAAGCCAACTGTTTCCCACAGAATTTATGGAAAACAGTTTATCCTGTACCTGTGCTGTCTACCCACTTGTTTTCATTCTGTTTTTTGTCTAGCTTTTGAGCTGGTAGAGCTTTTTGCCCCTCCGTATCCCAGTTCCTCATATCTCAAGACGGAATGATGATCCTTCCTTGCCGCAGAGGTACTGAGGAGTCAGGACTGTATCAAGCTTGGAAGAGGAATAGAGCTAAGTATTATTATTATCTTGCTGTCTCTGGTTGTACTTATAGAATCATAGAATCACAGAATAGTTTGGGTTGGAAGGGAGCTTTAAAGGTCATCTAGTCCAAACCCCCTGCTGTGGGCAGGGACATCTTCAACTAGAGCAGGTTGCTCAGAGCCCCGTCCAACCTGACCTTGAATGTTCCCAGGGATGGGGCATCTACCACCTCTCTGGGCAACCTGTGCCAGTGTTTCACTATCCTCATTGTAAAAAATTTCTTCCTTAGATCTGGTCTAAATCTACCCTCTTTTAGTTTAAAACCATTCCCCCTTGTCCTGTCACAACAGACCCTGCTAAAAAGTCTGTCGCCATTTTTCTTATAAGCCCCCTTTAAGTACTGAAAGGCTGCAATAAGGTCTCCCCGAAGCCTTCTCTCCTCCAGGCTGAATAACCCCAACTCTCTCAGCCTTTCCTCATAGGAGAGGTGTTCCATCCCCCTGATCATTTTTGTGGCCCTCCTCTGGACCCGCTCCAACAGGTCCATGTCTTTCCTGTGCTGAGGGCTCCAGAGCTGGACGCAGCACTGCAGGTGGGGTCTCACCAGAGCATCCCCTCCCGCGATCTGCTGGCCACGCTGCTTTTGATACTTGTAACTGCTGATTCTTAAACATACCTTCTGGGGGGGTGGCATGTAAGGGCACTGGCCAGTGCTCTGCTCGGGCTGCAGCCCGGGAGCTGGGTGCTGCCTCTCCCCTAGGTCAGCAGGCTCCCGGGCTGGAGCACAAAGCGCAGGGGTGCGCAGGGGAAGGCATGATGACCGCGGGGTAACGTGTCAGCGACTGGAGCACTAGCATTGCAGTTCTGGTTGGTGTCGGGCTGTAACAGGTAATGCCTCTGTCACAATAAATTGTCTGTTTTGTTCTGCAAAAAATACCTTTGTCTGTGCTTTGCCTCCCCCTTTTCTTCTCTCTGTTTGAAGTGTGAAAATGGCCGAAGTCTCATCCTGCCTTTGCTTTCATGGTCCGCATCACTAAGGTGAATAGTTATAACTCATGAGGGAGTAAGACTAAATACATCTGCCCAGTTCTCCCATTGCGTCTACTGGACGAGCAGATCACACCACAAGGCGTACATAGACTCACGCCACGAGCCAAATTCTGCTGCCTTGCAGGCGGTGTAAACATGGAATAGGTCTCCTAAAGGCAGTGGTGTAGCACGGGACTTACACAAGCGTAAATAAGAGCAGCATCTGGTGCTGTGGAAGTACAAAATGAATTTGGATTTCTAAAATAGTTACAAGGAACGAAGTGTCTGACAGCACTCGCTGTTGAAAGCTATCATTTATTTCCCAAACAAGTTACGTCACCAGACTGCCCTCATAATTATGGCCACGAAAACAGAGGCAAGGCAGTAAGCTTTTTCCTCTTGGATTCTAAAATAACATCAAATGCCTATAAAGGCCAGAATTTCCAAAGACCTGAGCTCACTGAAAGCCTGTCTGTCTGAAAGGTTAGTAGCATAGGTAAGTCGGACTCATTGTGGAAAAATTCTCTTTGTGGACTGTATTAATCTAAAGCAGCCCGTTTTTGACAAAGGCAAAACAGAAAAACACACTCATTCCTATCAGGAAGCATGCAGGGAGCCCTAGGAATAGCTGTCATGGGAGCCTGGATCAGGCAGTTTCCCTGGGAAGCCTAGCCCTGACTTATGCAGAACCTGAGCTCTGCTGCTCGGTGGCTCTCCAGGATTGATTACATGTCTTGCTTAAGAAGCTTTCAACAAAGGAAGCTGCGCTGATGTTGAAGTGTTAAGGTCAAGTTCTCCTCTTGTGTAGGATGTTGTAAATCAGGAGCTATTCTGCTGCCTGCAGCAGGGTAACCCCTGATTTACACCGGTCTGGGAGCAGGAGCGAGCGCCTGGCGAGAGGCTGGCACTTGCCTCGTGGTGCTGCGCCGAGGGCCCCGCACTGCAGAGGTGCAGGGTGGCCCCGGGAGAGGACCCGCTCCGCGCTGGCACCTGGCTGCAGGGCAGGCAAGGACAAGGGGAGGCGTGAGGGCGCGGGGCCGGCCGCTGCGCCGGCTCTGCCTCCTCTCTGCCGCGTGTCT